TAGTGCACGATCGAATAGACAAGAGATTTTTTTTATTAATATGGTCATCCACATATGAGCTGTGATACAGTGAAACAGGCCTATCAGTGTGGCTAAGCACTATATATATATATATATATATATATATATATATATATATATGTATTCTGTTAAAAAACATCCTTGATTATCAAATAAAAAAAATTAATTTAATAAATAGCTTAATTGCAGTGCCTTGTCACTCATCTCCAATGAAGCTTATATATACAGGATGCGATAGGCAAATTGTCGCCATTTTATATTTTTAATTTCATGCATTGGAAATGTTATGCTGTACTGCTTGGTATTTGTGCCAGAAGCTCGAATATGAACATTTCAAAATGTATGTGTGTCAATCTGAGACCATCCAGAAGAGTTGCAGGAGATTCAGAAGTTGTATGTTAGCCAATGGTGATTTTATTGATTAAATTTAATTTTTAGTATTTCAAGATATTTTTATGTAATTTTGGTAAATATATCTGTTAAAATGAAATGTCAGCATTATTTTTGCATAATTTAGACAATTTATCCATCATACCCTGTATGTATATATGTTCGTATGTATATATATATATATATATATAGAGAGAGAGAGAGAGAACAGACAGATTAAGAATCTACAGTTCTTAGCATTTACTTTTTTTAAAAAGTACTCAATACAATGTAGAGCAAAATAATCGCATTTTAGGTTCCATATATATAAAAAAAATCTTTTAATTAAACTAGCAACCCCTTTAAGAAGGTTTTGTAATATAAAAAAAATTTTGAAATTCTTTAAAAATAACATTTTGTTTAATACAACCTTGTTTACTTCACCTTATCTAAACTTTGTTTCATTACAACAGTTTGTCTGCTGTTGGACATGTCTAAAGTGTAAATTTATCTATGAATTAATAACCCACCTACCCACACCATCTGACATTATTCTTCATTTTTCCTTTTAGCTTAGATCTGTCTATTGATTGGTTAATCCTGACATGCCCACAAGTATGTTTTTTTGATTTTGAAATTTTCATAAGTTATTTATCATCAGCCAATGATATAGTTCCAAAACATGAAAATTTTTGTGTAGCAATGTAAAATATATATATATATATATATATAATAGTCTAATAAAAGATGTAGGTAAGAGAAGACTACCAAGGTGATAGTAGAAAGTAAAGTTTGGTCTAGAAAATAGAGGAAAAGGTTATGTAACATATCTTATCTCAGGTACTTTAGGTATGACACATGCTACTTGGGTGTCACAGAGTGGTCTCTACTCAAGTCAGGTAAGCCATCCTCAAAGGAAAAAATGGATCTTCTTCACAAATATAATCTGTTTTTCATGATCATGGATATCAAGCATTTTGGATGGACAGATAGTTAAGTAGTTTACATAAGATATTAAGAGAAAAGGTTATGTGACATATCTTATCTAAGGTACTTTAGGTATGATAGACTGTGATCTGTCTTTTATCATTGTGAGTCAGAAACACTACGATGATCAAATTCTTAAACTTGTTCATATCAATTATTAAATAAAAATATATGTGTCATAGCAGACGCGGTGATTTTGCTTTATAATGTGTAGAAATAGAAGAAATTTTGACTGATCTGCATTCTAGTAATTTTCAGCTAGTGAAGTAATTTGTTAAAGCATAAATTTGCATTTTTGAGCTGATATGGTAGATAAGATGGTGTCATTATGTTAGATTTGGACAAGGTTGCAATTTCAGTGTTTGACATCAGCGTTATTTTTCCACTTCCCTGATTATATATAGATAGGAAAAAGAAAAATATTTAAAATAAGCTGTTATTATTGAAATTAACAGTTTGAAAGGATTATGAAGCAAGAGAAAAAAAATATCACTATGCCTGATTGGTTGAGGCCCGGATTAACAATGACCATGGGTCCCATTAATTGGCTGCCATTAATAGACTATTGTGGAGGAGATTCTGTGTGGCTTCTGCATTTGGATTCCCCCCTACGATTACAAAAGTCAAGGGGATGATGATAATGATGTTGTCTCGGTTTTATTGTAACTTCAGATAGGTTTGCCTATTGTCCAGTTCACACACCTCCCCAGTCTTTTAAACAGGAGTAGATGTTTAGCCCTTGTTTCCTGTTTAGGAATGGGTTTCCAGTTCTTTCTAAAATCTGCTTCCGCACTATATTTCTATTGTTCCTGACTGAGTTCTAAAATGTTATTCACTAATTAAATCTTGACTGATTCAAGTCTAAAGTTAACCATTATCTTTCTTAAATCCACCCAAGAACTTCATTTCTTGCCTTTTCTTATATTCACAACATCATATAGTAACTTTCTACTTTGAGTGGCTCTTGGTCCTTGTATTGGGTGAACATTAGTTTAAAAAAAGGGGCAGTAGATATTAACATTGTAGTAGTTGTGGGTTGATGAATATCAGATTCTGTCTGGATGTAGGGTGGTAAAGAATCCATTTGATTTAAGTAGTTTTGTAAAGAACCTACTGTCAACTATTTGCATATTATATTTATGGTATCAAAGCAGATTCCAGAAGGAGTGTAACATAAATCTGGTTAGAAAATACTTTTCTGAGCTGTGGACAGGGTTGTAATAAGATCAATATTGAATAATAAAAATCTTTATCACTACATGACAGACAAGTCTTTCAAAAAGATATTAACTTGAATAGTTCATGAAATCAGGTAAATTCAAAGGAATATTCATATATGTTGTCAACATTAATCTTTGGCTAGTTCTTACTTCCATCTTATGTTTTATGCTTTTTATTGCAATGTTTTTTTTTTCACCGATGTTGTATTAGCATAACAAAAAGGCAAGATAGGCTTGAAGAGGTCAAGGTTTAATTAGTGAATAACATTTCAGAGTTCAGGCAGAGACGTTAGGAGTATAGAGTTGAAGCAGACATTAGAAAGAACCAGAAACCCAATCTTAAAGAGGAAACAAGAGATAAATCTCTACTTCTGTTTAAAGGACTGGGGAGGAGTGTGTTGTAGAGTAGTTTCACAGTGGAGGCTTGTATTTCCTAAAAATAGGTTCGACATACAAAACGTTAGGAACTTGATATAATAGGTAATGACGCAGTAATCTAGTTGTGGTCGCTGATACTTTAATATCCGACTAACGGTCATCAGACATTGACTGACTAACCAACTTCCTGCCAACCCAGCGACTGCTACTACTCCTACTTATTATAGGGGGGGAGAGTCTATTAACAATAGAATAGGTGTGTTCCACTATAACAGAGTGTGAACCGGGCAATAAGCAAACCTATCTACTGGATCATTTTTACATTTTACAAATGCTAGAAATGAAAAATCAGTTAAAAATTAATAAATAAATATATTTCATATAAGAAATTTAGTTTACTAGATTTAAAGAAGCAACAAAAATGAGATGAAAGATAAACTAGTCAAAAAAAGAAATGTTTTATTCAAGAAATTTTGACAACTGAAGACAATTACATCTACTTCTAGGTGTAAATAAGAATAAAGATTTTCTTTAAAATGTCATAAATTAATCCAGGTTGATGTCCTTTATCTTGAAATTCCAAAAGTTTTTCAGATGCTGACATGTCTTGCCTCAAATGGAAAATTTCAGAAAGCACTAGGAAGGTTCTTAGGTGATGTGAATCTGTTATCTACCCTGTTTTTGTTGGCAATCGTCACAGCAACATCTTCGTTTGTGGATTACTTACCAGGTGTTCCATGCTCAGTAAAGATATTATTCAAAATGTCAAAAAGTCCTGCATTTATATATTTTTTGTAAGTAGTGATCATGTTTTGTTTGTTTACATAAAGAAAGTACAAAACATTATTTTTATGTGAAATCTTAACCTCAGAAATTAAAATCTGAGTGAGTATTATGGAGTCATTACCTGTATCTGTATGTACACAAAATTTATTAAATTTGATATAAAACTACTTTCAGGTTATATGTTATTTATATACAATTACCTTCAGTGGATATGTATAAGTTGTGTTATTAAATGTAAAGGGATATCATGCTTATGCTTGGGTTCCATTCCCAAGCTGCACAGCTATAAAATTATAGATGAGATATATAAATTAAATAACCTGTATTCCAAAATCTGAAAACTGAAGCATTTTTGGTCCAAAGAATCTTACTTATTATATTATTCTGTACGTTTATATGTTGGATCAGATTTCCTACATTTTTCAACCAATTTCAACAAAACAGTACTGCATAAAATTACCTTGCAGTGGTTCTGACAGCCAAAACTTGGAAAAACACAATTGTTTTTGCACAAAATCAATTTGAAAACATGATAAAATATGATTCTGTCGCCAGAATGAAAGGGGGACAACTCATATCGAGTTATACTTATAAAACCCATGTTGTTTGTGTGTGTTCCTTTATATATGGGATCGGATTTCCTACATTTTTCAACCGATTTCAACAAAACTTCACTTTTTTTTTGGCAGCTAGTGTTTCTTACTGTCTTGTACACTTTTTTCTTTATTTTTAACATTCAGAATGCTTTAAAAATTCCATTTACAAGACAATTGTTTATAATAAAATTCTATTCAATCGGTAGACTCATAACGATTGAAAACAATGTTTTTGTTTGAGTTTGGGTTTGACCAATTTGTAAAAAAAAAAAAAAAAAAAAACTAATTACAACATGCGTGTCCGTCAACCTTAAACAATAATCTTTGTCAATTTTATTTTTCAGTCTTTATGATGGTCGATACTTGATCTATCTCTTACTGTTACATCCCCGGGCAACTCTAGTTTCTAATAAAGGATTCTCAACCTGTACTGAAAACGTTTCCTAAGAAATTCAGATAAATGGAAAAAAAAATTATCTTCTGTTTGGTTCAAGCAATCTGATTTCCAATATTGATCAGTTAATAGGGTCAAACTTGGCCAGTATATTTTATTACCAAGTTTTGATCAATGGTCACTTTTTGGGGAGGTGGGAGCGGAGTGTATGATGTCAGCTGAATGCTGCAAGTTGAATGCCAGGAATGATCATGGTGCCAAGAGAATAGCGACATCCACAATGTTGCAGTCTAAAAGTGCTTTCTCTAGAATTTCTGCACAGGCCATTTCACCTTCACGTTCTTTCCACCAAAGAAGAATCTCAAAAATCTGCCAAAAAGAAGATTGGAATTGGTTAAAACATTTAGGAAAGAAATTTAAATGGAATATTTTAACCCCCCCTAACTGATTACATGATGTGGTTTTGGAAATCTACAACTTTTACATATGAAATGCTATGAGGCTGAAACGTTGTGATAGCAACAACAAAGATGAGGACAACAGTCCAAATATAAACAGTATGAATAAAAAAAAACAATCTGTCCTTTCAGGATGCTAGTGGTCATTTCATTCACTAATTATTTTCCCCTGCCAATAGGAATATACATGTTTGTCTATCGTCCAGTTCAAGATCCTCCCTGGTCTTTTAAACAGGAGTAGAGGTTCATCCCCTGTTCACTGTTCCCTGTTTAGGATTGGGTCTCCAGTTCCTTCTAAAGTCTACTTTAATTCTATACTCCTAACGTCACCTGAACTCTGAAATTTTATTTGCTAATTAATTCTTGACCTCTTCAAGTCTAGAATAAGCTGTCTAACTTTCCTGTTATCTTGCCCTTTCTTACGCTAATTCAACTCCACACAGTAGCCCTCTATCTGGATTCAACTAACGCTTTTATCCACTGAAATAAAAGTGCTGGTTGAATCCAGTAACCCAATGAGTTGTGAGTTCAATACCTGGCTACATCTGAGGTGAGCAAAAACTTGAAGAGTTGAGTTAAAGGGAGATAACTGATACTGAAACATCCAGAAGAGGTGTGGCATGTGGAACTAGAACAATCTACCCCAGTGGGTTCAGTTCAAAATTCAAGTCACCTGAAGAAAAATGAATATGGCAATGAAGATGAGGATAACAGTCCGAACAATGTAAATAGTGTAAATAATTACAATATCTCATCTCAGAAATAGAGACAGATAAATGAGAAAGTTTTAAGGAAAATTCAAGCACAAAAGGACACTTAAAATTAGAGTGAGAAGGAGGTAGAAAGAGAATTTTCAGGACACTTAGAAGAAAGAAGACCTGGAGAATTTGACACTCACAGGATATAATGAAAACAAGAGAGGCAAATAGAAATTGCATATAGACTACTTAATGAGCTTGTGTAAATGCACTGGGAGAGATATTAAGGAAAGAAACAGAGCCAAAAATGATAGGAAGTTGTGGAAAGCCATGATTGCCCATGTCCTGAAAAATCATGGCTCATAAAATAAGATGCCAGGTTAGGACCAATAACATTGCAGATTATTCTTTGAATTTTATCAAGAATCTCTATATAGCAGGACTTTTGAACAGGAGTAGAGGTATGTCCTTTTTTTTGTTTCTGTATAAAGTCTTCTTCAGCTCCATACTCTTAATGTCTGTGCCTAAACTCTGAAATTTTATTCCTTAACTATTTCATTTTTTTTCTCTCCTCTATGAATAAGAGTAAATAGGTTTGCCTATTATTTGATTTACACACCTTCCTTGACTTTTGAACAGGAGTAGAGGCTTGTCCCTTGTTTCCTCTTTTGAGTTAAGTTTCCAGTTCCTTCTAAAATCTGCTTCAGTTCTATACTCCTAACACTTGTTCTTTCCCACACTAAGTCCACACAGTAACCCTCTACCTTGAGTGGCTATTAGGCCTTGTATAGGGTGAACATTAATAAAAAAAAAAAAAAAAAAAAAACCTTGCAATTTTAGAATTTTGGAATATAAATCTTGTAGAATGTCAATTGAGCTCAAACATTAATTCAAACCAATATCTTCAGGTGCTTCTTTCTAAAATGATTTTTTTTTAATCCAAAAGACATTTTCAGAGAAAAAAAAAAATTGGTAAAAAAAGTTGGAATCTTCTTTACCAATTGAGAAGTTTCATCTGGATACTTTTTTTCAAGATTTTCAATTTCCTGACTTAAAAATCCAAGTTTATTGACCACTTTCTTCCAGTCTTTTGTTGCAATGCGTTTGGAAATTTGCCCAAGAAGAGAATCAGATGGAATCAATTTTCCTGTGTCCGGCAAGGAAGGAACATCTTTACAGTCACAAAACTGAAAAGGAAAAATAAAATAAAAAATTTTAGAATGTAAGACATTTTTTTCTGTCTGAATTTCTGGGATGAGAGGTTACCATTATTTACACTATTTACATTCAGACTATTATCCTTATGTTTGTTGTTGTTATCATAACATTTCAGTCACCGTACCCTCCAGCCTTCATCAGTTGTATGTCTACTGATAGCAGCAGCAGCTGTAACAAAAAAGAAAAGCTTCACTCATCAGTAGGCAGGCTAGGTTTAAGGCTCCAAGTTCTCCATAGAGACAAAAGATAAGTGGATTAAATCAATTGATTCATTTTCTACAGCTTATCAAACACTTTTACAGATTATTTAAAACCAGGAAATGTTTTTAGATTCTAAGAATTGGGGGGGGGGGCAAATAAGAATTTGATGAAAAACAAAAAATTCTAATGATGATATAACATGGGGGTTCAATTCTTTATTACAATCATTACATAAACTGATCCCTCATTTTGTGATCATGGTAGTTTCTATAAATTTATATTCCAGAGAAAGTAAATAAATCTAAAAGACATGCTTGTGTAGCTAATCAGTATCTCATTGATTGACCGATTTGTTTTCTACAGCTTATCAACAAACAAGAAATTATAAAGTGGGGGGTCAATTCTATAATGCAATCAATACATAAACTGATCCCTTACTTTGAGGTCACAGTAGTTTCTATTCATTTAAATCCCAGAAAATGTAAATAAACCTAAAAGACATGCCTGTGTAGCTAATCAGTATTTAATTGTTTGATTTGTTTTCTATGGCTTATCAACCTATTGCAGGTTATTTAAAGCCAGAAAATATTTTTAGATTATAAGAATTTTTTTTTTAAATAATAATGTCTTACTAATGAATCCATAGCTGAGGGGAGAAGAGGTGAATTGATACCTTTCATGAGTGAATATAAGGAACCCAACAGGAATTGGAACTCAGCTCTCTGATTAACAATTCTAAGCCATTATCCATTACACCATCCACATATCCAATCTTACAGCACCAGGTATTCCCAAGTGGTCATCAATCCATCTAAGTACAAATCAGTCTCAACATTGCTTAACTTTGGTGATCATATGGGAACTAGTATGTCAACGTGATGTAGAATCCTATTTTTCCTCCCATGTCTGATGTATTTTTTTCTTCAAGTCTTTCAAGAATAAATCCCTTTTTCTGATATTTGAAGATTTTTCTTCATAAACATTAGAAATATTTCAGCATTTAATCAATCTTTGAATCAATTTTGCCCCAAGCAAGGCAATAAAACAACTACAACAAAAGGAGTTACTGGGTGTGGAAGAACGAAGCACAGAAACATTACTAATAAGTGGAAAGAGAAAAGAGTATTGATGAAGACAGTAGATAGTGATTAACATTGCATTTAAATTGCATTTATAGTTTTGGAAATTAAAGTTGTCTGGAAAGTATGGAATTGGAAGGGAGTTCCACAAGCAAGAAGTCTGAGAAAAAAACTTTTAGCATAGAATTTATGGCTACATTTAGCCAACTCAACTGTAAATTGATGAGATCTCTATGTCTGCACTTAAATTCAATAGCAAAGAGCTCATCCAAACAATTTTAAAAATAAACGAATTCAACAAGTATTATATGTGTGTGTGTGTGTGTGTGTGTGTGTGTGTGTGTGTGTGTGTGTGTGTGTATATAAAACACAACAAAATCCCAAATTTACCTTATATGGGTATAAGTCTATTTCAGCCAATGCAAAGTATGTTAGTCTTATTCAACCCTGGTAGATGGACTATTCATGTCAGAATTAGAGATTTAAAATTTAACTTAGGCAGCAGTCCTGAGCTCATTGCTACTGCTTATTTCCACAATTCCACTTCTACTTCTGTACATTAAGCCCTGCTTACACATTCCCCTTCTCTTGGACTAGATTCAATCTTTATCAAGTGAGGTTAACTTTTCTATTGCATAATGCCTACTACTACAGTTTTAAGGCGTTGCTTTCATTGTCGTTTATAGCCATTCCCAATTTAATTTTTTTTATTGTCCTGCTAATTTTTGCATTGTATTCAGCATAGTAATAAGTAAGCTTGCTTTTTTATTACTCAACATTTATTTTTCCAACCTTTCCTAAAGTTTGAGCTTAGTGATGCCTGTAGCTTTACATCATTCTCATCTGGTATTTACCTATACATTCCATTTGACAATTCATACTTGCCTAAGACATGCAACCAAAGAAAAGAACTTGTCTAGGTCACAAAACCGCTGCTGCCAGGTCTGCCATGCGAATAAGAGATAACAAGATATACATAAAGACCTGCAGGAATACAATTACATGTGTCCAAACTAGTGCATGATAATATATACACAACAATGGTTGAATAAATAATGGATCTTAAATAGCTATTTAAATGGTTATATTTTTAAAAAGTGCTCAATATACAGTTAAAAAAATTGAAATTTCCTAGACAAGAATAACCTTGTCTGTAAAAACTGTCTTATTGTATATACAGTGTAACCCGGATATAAGAGAGATTTTCTCTGGTCCCAAATTAGAGCCTGTGTTAATGTATATAAAATAGACCAAACCCGGATATAAGAAAAACTTATTTACCTAACCAGTTCCTTCCTATTTTCTATATATTTTCACACATTATATATATATATATATATATATATATATATATATTTTAAGACATTTTTATGTTTATACACTCTTTTTATAGATACAAATATTTAAGTAAATGCTCTGTTTATAATAAACCGTATTAAACAACATTTACCAACCTGAATGTCCGAGAAATTTTCATAGAAAATATCCGTCCTTCAAATATATATATATACACGCACACAGAGTGGAGTGGGTAAATTGTCACCATTTTATATTTTTAATTTCACACATGTGCATTGCTTGTTTTTTATTTTGTCGGCTGCATAGTAGAGTAGGGTTAGTTGGGTACTGTCTGTGAGAAAAAGATCACCATGACACAATTCACTCCACCAGAAATTTGGAAGTACTGTTTGTCATTCATGCCAGAAGCTCCAATATGAGCATTACTGAGTGTTTGGGTATCAATCTGAGCACAGTGAAGAGGATTCAGAAAGAGTTGGATGAGTTTAATGGTGATTACAAAGGTGTTTGGAGTGATCACTATTGATGGCAATGTTATACCTCCATTCATCTTCCCACAGGGCCTCAGGCTCAACATGGAGGCCTATATCAAAGTGACTTGAGAAGGTATTACTACCATGGGTCAAGAGGGTGGCTGCTGGAAGACCCAATAGCTGGCAACAAGACTCTGCACCATGCCACACAAGCAGGAGAACTCAGTCATTGTTATCAAACAATTTCTGTGACCACATCACTTCTTACATCTTGCCACCTAACTCCCCAGACTGTAACCCCTTTGATTATTGTGTATGGGGCACAGTTGTGCAAGAGACCAACAAAACTTCTTGTAACACCAAAGATGAACTAAAGGCAAGGATTATGGCAACATTCACCAACTTAAGGAGATTATCCAGAAGAGTTGCAGGAGATTCCAAAGTCATCTGGATACTGTGGTTGAAGCCAATGGCAATTTTATTGAATAAATTTAATCTCGTATTTCAAGATATTTTTGTGTAATTTTGATAAATATATGTTAAAATGAGAGGTCAGTTTTATTTTCATTTTTGCGTAATTTAGACGACAATTTATATTATCTTTATATCTGCTCAATGTCGGATCAAAAATAAATCCATTAGTTCTTTAGAAATTGCTTTGTTTACATTTTGGATACGAAACTAAGCAGATATGAAGCTTTTGAGAAAATAATCTAAATAAAGTGTACTTTGTTAAAAATGTTAAATAGAACCTTTACTTGCTGCGACTTTTCTACGGCCAAGCAATAAAGCACATTGTATTAAATAGTGGTTATCCTTATTCAACACCTGGCAGGGAATCCATTTTTTTTTTTTTATTAAGATTTCTTGAATGAGCAGGCCAAGTGACATAATATACAATGTTTAATAAATAAAAATGGGGTGTCTATTTCAAATACAAAGTATCTACTATAATAACTATATACACCATGACAAGTGGATGGGGTGATTTCTGGAGGGTCCAGCTACAAAACTCCAGAGTAAGGATACTGAAGATAACATCAATCAATGAAGTGACAAATTTTATATTTATATAAATCTCTCTCTTTCTATTATATATATATATATATATATATATATATATAAGATAAGGAACAAATAGGAAACATTTATAAATCTAACATGTTTGCTTTTTAATTAAGCTTCATCAGAAGTGCACCCTCTTTGATCAGATTATTTGCTTGAAAACTTTATATCTGCTCAATGTCAGATCAAAAATAAATCCATTGGTTCTTTAGAAACTGCTTTGTTTACATTTCGGATATGAAACTAAACAGATATGAAGCTTTTGAGAAAATAATCTAAATGAAGTGTACTTTGTTAAAAATGGAAAATAGAACCTTTGCTTGCTGCGACTTTTCTACGACCAAGCAATAAAGCACATTGGATTAAATAGTGGTTATCCTTATTCAACACCTGGCAGGTAATTCATTTTTTTTTTTTTACTAAGATTTCTTGAATGAGCAGGCCAAATGACATAATATACACTGTTTAATAAATAAAAATGGGGTGTCTATTTCAAATACAAAGTATCCACAACATTAAGATTTCAAGTGAAAAAAACTGAAAATAAAAAATTCATTAACTCTTTAATCATATATATATATATATATATATATATATATATTTTAAGGTATGCAATATTGTGGGTAAAAGTGAAAATTATCAGAGATTGTTTAAATTGTGACCAGAGAGCTAGAGAAAAGCAACAAAAAATTGTAATATGAGCTCTGGTAAAAAAATAATGCTGAGACATTATGTTTATACGTTCTAAAAATTCAATCACTAATGTCTCCCAACCTGACCACAGTGGAGGGAACAAAATCTTGCAGAGTTACTAAGGGAAACTAACTGAAACTGAGATATCCAAAGGCATGGCACGGGGAATTAGAACAATCTACCCCAAATTCAAAAGTCCAAGAAATATCATCTGAAGAAGGCAGGAGTGTACACTGGCCAAAATGTTGCAACTATCACAATAAAGATGAGGACAACAGTCAGAACAATGTAAATACATATTTAATGTTACATTTTTTTTTACAGAATATTTTGTAATTCATAAAGAAAATGACCATTTTCAGAATCAAAACTTACTTCTGGCAACTGTTTATCCAGATCTTCCTGCAAGTCTTTCAGTAGAATTGTTAACTCAAAGATTTCATTTGTCTCTTCCTGCAAGAATTCCTTGTTGGCTTTAACAAACTGTTCTTCTGTTATGAAACCTGAAACCAACAAATTTAAAAGTTCCTTCAATTTTGGCAAATAACTGACTGCTAATGACTAATATTTAACTGTACTAGTATCCTCACACAAGTACTATCAATCCTCCTATATTGATAAACTCGAAAGAAGAATCAGCATTATTGTTGGAAATTAAAATTAAAGCAATAAAAATAAATTTTTGTCATTCCATGTATGTGCATTTATTTTTATAGATGTACCGTATTTTATTTTAAAATTAAAGAATAATGTGCAAGTGTCAAATTTGTCAAGCGTTTTTTAGTTACCGTCTGTTTATTGTTTAAAAATGGTTGATTCTACAGGAAATAAAAGAAGGGGTGACTTATTTGTTTACTTTGCCTTACAGTGATACCTCAACTTAAGTCATTTTGAGTTAAGTCATTTTTCAAAGATACATCGGTTTTTCTTAAATATTATATGGAAAATAAAACTCGCCTTAGGTCATTTTACTTGAGTTTATGTTGACCATTAAAAATATTAGGAACATCAAAACACTAAGATAACAATAAACACATATAAAATCATTTAAATAAATTTAAAAATAATATTATGTATACTATATATATATATATATATATATATATATATATATATACTAGTAGTAGAGCCAAGCGTTGTTCGGGATGTAACAGTAAGAGATAGATCAAGTATCGACCATCATAAAGACTGAAAAATAAAATTGACAAAGATTATTGTTTAAGGTTGACGGACACGCATGTCTTAATTAGTTTTTTTCTTTTTGTTTTTTTGTTGTTTTTTTTACGAATTGGCCAAACTCAAACAAAAACATTGTTTTCAATCGTTATGAGTGTATCGATTGAATAGAATTTTATTATGAACAATTGTCTTGTAAATGGAATTTTTAAAGCATTCTGAATGTAAAAATAAAGAAAAAAGTGTGCAAGACAATAAGAAACACTACCTGCCAAAAAAAAGTTTTGTTGAAATCGGTTGAAAAATGTAGGAAATCCGATCCCATACATAAACGAACACACACACAAACAACCTGGGTTTTATAATAAGTATAACTCGATATGAGTTGTCCCCCTTTCATTCTCGTGATGCCTCTTAATCGTGTTTTCAAATTGATTTTGTGCAAAAACAATTGTGTTTTTCTAATTTTTGGCACTGTCAGAACCACTGCAAGGTAGTCCTGTGAAGTTTTGTTGAAATCGGTTGAAAAATGTAAGAAATCCGATACAATATATAAATATACAGACACACACACACACAATCTGCATTTTATAATAAGTAAGATATATATATATATATATATATATAGTATACATAAAAAGAATGTATAAACATAAAAAATATATATATATATCATGAAATCATCAAAAACAAAAAATTGCAGAATAAAGTATGTTCAGCAGATGTTCTTATCTCAAATTCCTGCCAACAGGCGGCACTCATGTGCTGTTTCCTGTTCCAACAATGATTTTGAATTCAGACATTTTTAAATCTGTGCTCTGCTGTTGACGTTCTTTCAATTATATTTAAATTGTGATTTAAAATAGATTTTGCCCATGGCTCCAAAGAAAAGTCCCCATGCAAGTGCTAATACTAATCATAAGGCTATATCGTGGAAATTAATTATTTTATTCAGATTACAGTATGTATATATAACAACTGTAATAGACAATGGGAAGTGCATATTTACTGTTTATACTGTGGTTATTTTGACTTAAGTTGTTTTTCGACCTAAGCTGTGACTGCTGGGATCAATTAATGACGTATACCTGTATATGGTCCTCTCATGACTTGTCTGGGCTTAGCCATATGTTAGATATATATAAAAGCATGAATTCTCATGTTTTTAGGAGGGAGGCAACAGAGAGGCAAAGAGACACAGAGAGCAAGACAGAGATCGGCAGAGAGTTTGGACATTTTTGGCAGGAGGCTTGAGAAGATTGCTTAAGAGGCAGAATGGGAGTGACATCATCACTCCTTCCTCCTTCAACTCACTGAAACATCAAACAGGGAGAAGCTGAATGTCATCATGACAACTGACTGTAACAAAAAGGTGAAACAGTGTCCTGTTCAACAAGAAAATAATGCATTTGTTGTAAGCATATTTTTCTTAAAGGGTTAAATCAAATTCTATAACCCATTTTTTAAGCTCCCTAGATGTCATTTGAAGCTGTTATTAATTACAATTAAAAGAGTTAATAAGACGAAAATAAGAGTAATCAGTGTAGTTCTGATAAAAATAAAATATAAAAACAAAATATATAAAAAAAATAAAAAGAATTCAAATTAAAATAAGGCATTTGCACTTTTCTTTAAAATTCTTATCTCTTTCTTTCTATTTCTCTTTCTCTTGCTTTCTTTCTATCTCTCTTTCTCTGAACTTCACTCTATATACTTATCTCTCAACTAACGAGAAGACAATCTTCAAATAAAAAGAGGAAGAAGAAGAAAAGACTGAACCCAACCAAAAAATGAAAAGTTTTGGGGACCAAAGCCTACTTATTTATGACTATAAACCTACATAAATAAGACAGGCTCCGCACATAACTTCCATTTTATATTTAAAAAAAATGAAAAAGAAAGGAAGACTGGAAAATAAAATAATTTTGGCCAATCAAAAAAATTAACAGAAAGAGACATTTGATGTTAGACAAAAACCAAGGTTTGCACAGAGTCTGTGAGCCTGGTCAAAAGTTCTGAGTTAGACTAGAAGAGTGATGGCAAGAGAAACTACAGAACAAGAGACAAAACTGCTAGAGAAACCATCCATGTATGATGCATGAAGTTTAGAGATCATCTGTTAATGATATTTTCTGCCCTTCTTAGGGCCGATAAAACACAGTAGATTGAAACTGACCTTTTTCTAAGATGACTACTACCAAACTGAAACAGACATTTCTTCAGAAATTTTCTTCAATATCCACCTTATAAATGAACATTTTGCTACACTGAATATCAAAGGACTCACTCTAAATCAAATAAATAAATATAATATATTATTTATTTTATACTCTTGAGAAGGGCAGAGTCTCGTTTGGGGAGGTTAACTGACCCTGAACCCGTTTATGTGGGTTCAAAAGGGAATACTTTTGGCTGAGCCTACGTGCTTGGAGAACCCACGTTAAACCCAGCCTTGTGCCACATGCAACCCTCATGAGTGGGTGGCTAAATATTCTAGCTGGGATCTGTTGAGTACGACTCAGACTTACGCGAGAACTACCGACCTTCCAATAGAAGCACTCACTACTGGATTAACTTGCAACAACCTTTGTGCATAACTATTATCTTTATTCTTATTGTACTGGTTTTATGCAATAAACCTTTACTTATTTCATCCACCTTGTTTTTCAAGTATATATTCCTATTAGCATGGAATATAACACCTTATCTTTGATGTTTTGATCATTTTGACCAGTGCACTCTCCAACCTTCTTTTTTTATATGTGGTAAAGTTGCCACGAGTGCAAGAATGCAATGAACAGATCCAAACAAAGATAAAGATGTTAATTCCTGTTTAGAATTCTCTAGTTTGGGACAAAAATTCAAGCCTTTGTTGCTTGAATCTTTAGATTTTGCTCATTGGAATAATTGTGAAAAATCTCAAAACAAAAATATATCACTAATAATGACAACAAAGATAAAAAGTTTGTCCAATTGTAAATAATATTAATAATGATAATTCCTCATCTAACAAAAAAAAAAAAGAATTTTGGGAGTGGATTCTATTTAAAGATTATAGAATTTTACAAATATATAAAGACTAAAATAGGCACAGCTTAAAACATTATGATGAAAAAAACAACAAAGATGGAATGAATTATGTAATAATGACAATATTTTATTTGGTTCTTCAGATAAGTAAAACTTCATCTTCATAAGATGACACGTGGAAGACTGGATAAGACACTAGTATTCAAAATGTTTAGTTTAAAACAACAAAGATGAAGATATCTGTTGGAATGACTTATGTAATAATGACAATATTGTTTTTTACTCTTCAGACAATGATGACTTTCCATTTAAAATAGAAAATATGCTGATTATTAAAATTTACAATCATTAGCAAACCCTCAGTGTCAGTGAAAACTGTAAATATTTAAACTAGAAACAACCAAGATGAGGATATTCTCTCTTTCTCTTTCTCTCGCTTTCTTTCTATCTCTCTTTCTCTGAACTTCACTCTATATACTTATCTCTCAACTAATGAGAAGACAATCCTCAAATAAAAAGAAGAAGAAGAAGAAAAGACTAAACCCAACCAATTACTAATTATCCTCAAACCTCAAACAGGAATAAAGATGTCAAACTTTCAATTTTGTTCTTTTTTTTTCTCCTCATCGTATTTCTGGTAAAATTCTACACGACAAATTCAGAAAGGGAAAACAAAATATTTTAAATTTGAACCTTTAAGGTTTTGTCAAATGTTTTCTTACCAGTTTTGTCTTCATCGAGTTCTTCAAACAACATTTCAGTGATGTGCTTGGCTTGATCCTTTTTGAAAAGAAATCAGTTGAAAGGTCAAATTAATAGAAAGTTAAATGGAGATGGAAAGATACTGAAAAAGGCATGTCATGGCAAGCTGAGGAAAAGGAACATATATATTTGTCTTATGAAGAAGCCTAACAGTCATTGCTGCGGAAAGAGAAATCAGCAAGTTGAATCCAAATTCTAATCTCTTGCATTCGCTTTCACACAACCCCTGGGAAAGGCATGAAACCAGATCTCTCCCTAGCTACAAGTTAAATATCAAGGTAAATGGAGCTCTCTAACCTTTGATGACAGATTGTCTCGGAGAAAAACAAAATTCAAAACTGACTAGAAGCCACACTTTGTTATGTTTCACAGGAAGTTGTGACAATTCAAAAATACAGAAAAGGAAACTAGGGAGAGTCATGACTGCCTGCATTCTAAATGATCAAGATATCAAAAAAATACACTGTAACATTCATGAAACATGTATAGGTTAAAATCTGCACAATGACAATTTTTTTTCTTTTTAGTGACTGATGCACCATTTTTCTTCAAGATGTAAATGATAGTGGCTCTCCATGACTTCCTTTTCCTCTTTTTTTTTTTAAACAAATATATGTAAATTTTGCATTGCCATGATTGTTCTTGAAAAAGATATTGAATTTTTTCTCCTATATTTTAGATTTATTTCTAGTTTGGAATTCAGAGTTGTTCACCTCGTACAAAGCTCAAGAGCCACTCAAGGTAGAGGGTTATGATTAAAATGGTTATGACGAATGAGGTGTATAATTAATATGATTGAAAAAGGAGGTGGTCAGAAGTGAAGAATATGAGGATAAGAAGGAGTGACCCTTGACTTGAAGAGGTTAAGATTGTAGTGTTCAAGAAAGCATATATGTGGGGGTCAGTTCCACCTTTTTGCCCCTCATACAAACCAGATACATGTCTACCTTTTTGACTTTCATGCAAACTGTGTCTCTGTTCATTATTTATCAAAATGATAGAATGGTATTTACCCAATCTTCTCCACAACAAGGCCAGTTTTTACGTGGGGCAATTCTGCAGAAATTCCCCTTAGACCCCACATACATGGGGTCAGGTTTTTTACCTCCCCAGACGAGGCTGACCATAGGCATAGCCTCATCTGGATTCCTCTCTACCCGAGGGTGGAGAGTTCAACAAGGCCTGGCAGTGAACCGCCTGATCTAAGTGCGACTACTTAAAAATGATAGTATTTGCCATTCAATAACCTGGAAATATAACCTGTAAAAACAAGCAAAACCAATCAACTATTATTTCGCTTTTCAGTACAGGAAAGGGGGGGGACTACAATTTTACATGCTTTAGCACTCACTTAATAATTGTGCCATAATTGCTCTTACATAATTGTTCTTAATATATAAAATGTCTAAAACAGTGCTGTACCAGAGACAAATGTTTTTGGTGGGCCCACAAAAATTTAGAATTTATCAAGTTATCAAAGTTTGCCAACATGCCACCGGTACAAAAAAAGGCGGGGAAAAAATGAAAACCGACTGACTGGTCAGCTCCATATCACGACTTTCTGGGACCAGGGACAGATTTAGAAAAAAAAAAAAATATTATGTACCCAGAAGCAAGCTAGACCTAGCAGCAAAAATATATGACTTCCACTATGCAAACAAATCTATATCTACTGGAGAAGGTGATAAATTTTTTTTCTGAAAACACACAAGAAACTAGAGCCTTAAACATTTAAAATTTCCAGTAGCCTTTTGCTTTGATAGATTTTTTCTTTCTTGCATTTCTTTATTTTTTTTTATTTAAATAAAACTATCAAAAATGCTACTGCTATGGCCTTTTAAAAACATATACAATAACTATTATAAGACAGAGATAATATTTTATTATTACAAGGATTAATTTATGATGATAAAATAATATTCTGACTTACATCTTGTTCGTCTGGATAAAGAATCTGGACAATTCTCAAAATCAGATTCTTGTCCAAAGTTTGTCCATTATTGGTAAAATGGAAAGAGGCTGAAAAAGAACAAACATTCTGGCTCAATAATTGACAGAAGCGTTACCAATAATACATTAACATAAAACAGTATTGTACCCAAGTGCAGTGGCGTAGCTAAGAGGGGTCGAGGGTTAAGGTGCCAAAAAATAGTCTGAAAACAGTGGTGGAGACACAGGTTTCGCAGGCGGGCATATGACCCCCCAGAAATAATTTATGACCCCCCCAGTTTTGTCCCACCGTCAGAAATTTTCTAATAAATTGTCAGGAAAGTTGTGAGTAGGAAAAATAGCAATGTTTTCAGCTTTTGATTTGAACTGATTATTTAGTGGTATTGGATTTTGTCTTGGAGCATACATGTAAACAGTAACATACCAGTCAGCAGAGTAAAGTAGAGGTAGAGCATGTATGAAAATTTAGCTACAGCTAACCATTCAGCATATGGTGAATTGGGGTCATTGGGGTGACATTTGAGCGGACCACCCTGGGTAACGTTTACTCTAGCTATGCCACTGCCCAAGTGCATCTAAATTTTGTTTCCCTGTCTACTAATTGCTTTGTAAACCAAACAGAAAGTTGCAAAACCTTATTTACAACTTGAAAAATGTGTTAGTTTGAAAGTATATAGAAATGCAAACACATACATTTTCTTGTAGGTTAACTCGACACATATTGAAGTTAGTACAATGTGCGCACATATCAATTATCATATCATCATCAGAGTGTGGCCATAGGGTTACCAGTTACTGACCAGCTCCCTCTATGTGTCTCAGTTGCATGCCTCTGTGAAGGCTCTCTAAGTTCACTCAGTGACATAGTTAGCCCATTTTTTCTCTGTCAGCCTCTTCTTTTGATTTAAGTTGTACCTTGTATGATAGTAGTTGTCATGAACATGGCCTATCTCCCCATCAAAAGAAGCCCTATGCCATACACGATCATGTAAATTATCTAGTGCCTTAGGACTAATTAAATGCCTGTAGGTGAGCATGAAAAAATTTGCATAACTGACTGAGACACACATAAAAGCCAGCAGATTTTGTCTTTGGTGAGAGAAATTTACCTTTTCCGAATTTATCTTGTTCTTTAGGCATCAGCTTAATGTCAAGATTAGGAGGGAAAGGAAATGACTCCATCCATCAGAATTTGGCAAAAGGTGACTGAGTCTCATGCATTTGTGCCAAGTAAAAGGTGCTGACTTAGAGTAGCATTTTGTATTGGCAAACCTGCCCAAAATAGGCTATTTTAGGCTTGTTTTGTTTTTTAATTTTCTCTGTCAAAGTTAATTTAGCAAAGGATGTATGCTCATTGATCCCTTTTATTTTTTCCTCCACTTTCTTTAGTTTAATTCCCCCTCCACTCCTCTGTTAGGTAACCAGAGATGTCAGTTCTCTGGTGGATGCAGAACACTTTTCGTATTTCAGGTGTGATTTTCATATTTATTGTTGTGTCTGAATGAGTGTGTGTTTGAGCATTTTGATTATTTAAGTTTCGCATTAATTTTGTCCAGTTATCTTGTTTCTTGCAAATACATCTTGTTTTCCATTGTGAATATTCATTGGGGTTATCAAATTTTAAAAGTGTTTATTTTATTCCCCCCACCCAACAAACTGTACATATGGGGATTAGTTAGGACTTCATAGAGACAATGAGGTATTACGGCGGATGTAGTAAGAATGGTAAGTAAGAATGCAGTGTTTTGGTGCAAGGGTTATGGTAGCATGTCTGGGTTAGTGATTGTGGCTAGCTAAGTTTAAGTATAAGACAGATGAAGACCAGCCTTCCCCATTCCAAATTTTTGGCCTTGTGCCACATTTGTACATTGTGCAATAAATATTGAGAAAGATTAAAGACAGTGAGGAATACGGTTGAATGAACAAGCCAGCTGTGAGGTTCAAGGACAAAGCCATGGCAGGGAAGAACGTGAAACAAATTACTACAGATATATTATAAATACAGTAGTAGAAAGATTGCTGGTGACTCCATACCAATTTAATTTTCTCTTCTGGAGAGTGGTTAAAAGGTCTTCCAATGAGCCCTTATATTGCATCATTTGTGATGTTGTCTGCAGAGGAAAGGCCTAGGATGCTTCTGTAGCATCTTATTTCTAACACTTAGATTCTTTGCCCTCATCATCATATCCGAAACAGCCAAAATAGACCAATTAACATAAGACAAATATTAATAGATAATCACAAAATACTATACAACACATGCTGCAAGAAATGACACAAAATATTCTAAGCCTTCATTATGAAAGAAAACTATTGACATTATATTTCACTACAGCTAATGCCATTTTAAAAAGCATATAAAATATTTGCCAGTGTTTAATTTTTGTGGACACAAAAGAAACCGATGTATCAAAAGGACAGTTATTTCTTTGATAGCATTATTACTGGATGCACTTTTGACTCCCTCAGCAATGTTTATTGTTTTAAAAAGTGATGATTTGAACTTTAATAAAACACAAACATATGAAAGTGGATTTATACCTTTTCTTTATTCTTGACAAAGACACTATTTATTTATTTGATTGCTTATTTACAAGAATAATTTTGTATTTTTTTCACTAATGTTCGCCCAATACAAAGCCAAAAGAGTCACTCAATGTAAGGGTTACTGACTATCTTTTTTAGCAGAAGAAAAGTCAAGATAACAGGAAAGACAGCTAATTCTAGACCTGAAAAGGGTCAAGATTTAATTAACGAATAAAATTCCAGAGTTCAGGTGAAGACGTTAGGAGTATAGAGTTGAATTAGACTTTATTAAAAGGGACCGGAAACTCAATCCTAAACAGAAAACAAGAGATAAACCTCTACTTTTATTCAAAAGATTGGGGAGGAGTGTGAACTGGGCGATAAACAAAACTACTCCTGGGATTTACAAGATTATAAAAAATATGTGAACCAGCTATAATGAAATTTTTATTATTTGGCATTTTGTAAAAAAAATAAATATGAAATTAAATTTTTTTATTTATAAATTTATAAAAATCTGAGAACAAGAAAATTTAAATAAATGCGTAATGACGAGTAACTGTAATTATAAATTTTTAAAAATTGCATTTTCTGGGAATTTTTTTCATTTGTTTTTGCCACATAAATTCACTAAAATAGGTGGAGAGTATCTCTTCTTATATGTTTTTATAATATTATAAATAAACATTGCTGAGGGAGCTATGAGTGTAAACAGTAATAGTGGTGTCCAGGGAATAAGCGTTGACACACTGTTTTTTGTGGGCATGATGCTTAAACATTGCCAAAATATTTAAAACCATCATCTTCTGATGCTGTCAGGCTGTTTGACACAATGTCACTGATATAAAACACTTATAACTAAATATGAAATGTAGCATTGCTAAAAATGTAAGACAATGTCTTTGATTGAGACACCTAAGTAGACAGTAAATAATTTTGTCAGAGTCTGAAGTGTCTGGAGTTTTATGACCAGCAGTAAAGCTTAAAAATAAAATCTTCAAAGCTGCCACCCACTGGCCAAAAGGAAGTTGAACGAATAAATGAAAACTTTTGGGATCAAGTGCCAATTTCATTATAGAAAGTAATAAAAATCATGTATTCAACAAATTAACATAAATTCCCATTTTTACTGGCCTATTAGACGTGGATTCCCCCCCCCCCCAAAAAAAATTGCCCTGTACCCAATACAGCCATATCATGTATGAGAGGGACATGAAGACCAGAAAAATAATGGGGTTCACCAGCAATCATTTCACGCATAGAGCTTAGCACTGAAACTAGGACTCCTTGAAGTGAACAAAAAAAAAAAAATTAAAAAATATCCCTAAAAAATTCATCCAAAAAAAAAAAAGAAATTAAGAAATTTATGCAATTGGATATTTTGCTTCTTGTTCTGTAGAAATGCCAGATTTTACAGAAATATTTGCTTTGACTGGAATATTGCTGCTTGCTTTGTGTGGGTTTTTTGTTGTTATACATGTAATGGAATTTGGTTCTCTGCATGTGGTATGGGACTTTGTTTACCAACAAGTAGCATATTTAACCTGTTTAAGACTAGAGTTATCTTTCCATCCTATTCGTACAATCTACCTCTTATCATAATCCTCTACCTCAAGTAACCCTTGTACAGAGTGAACTTTACTGAAAAAAAATGTTTTTCTGCTTAATACCATATGTACCAGTGTTTACTGATACCAGTAGATTTCTTTGTAACTATTATGAATTCACTGTATGTGCAGATGTTGCTCCTTGAAAAACAACTAAAACAATTTTCAATAAATGCATGATGAAATGTACTAAAATTCTTCATTTCTAAAAAATGTCCTGCTAATTAAAGCTTACTTCATTTCTATTAAGAAAAGTACCAGTGTCGTATAATTTGTGCTAATACTTTGGAGATAATAATTCTTTACTGATACAAATCCTACCAATTAACCCATAGCTGGTGGGAGAGAAGAGGTGGATTCGTACCATCCCCAAATAAATATAGGGAACCCAACTGGAACTGGAACTCGGCTCTCCAATTCCAAGCCGTTATCCATTGCACCATCCACACATTCAAGTGTACAACACTTGGTATTCCCAAGCATCATGAATGTGTGATGCTGATTGAATGAAAGTATTCATTCTACAGAGGTACATCTATGTGGCCTTTTGAGGAGATAATAATGATTTACTGATAAAGTCCTACTGAGTAACCCATAGCTGGAGAAGAGGTGGATTCATAACTTTGCTAAGCATATTTGTGGGTAAGTAAATACAATGAACCCAACCTGAATTGGAAATCTAAAAGTAAGATTTTCAGAGTAACCACCGGCTATCTAAAAGCAGGAAAAGTAAAAAAAAATAAATAAATAAGTAAAATTTTTTGGGATCAAGTGCCACTTGGCCAGAAGGTAAGGAATTCCACTCATGGATCTATATAGCCAAACTGCATTCTAGAATCACCAGAAGTAAACTGGCTGTTTCCAGGTGACAGGTGTGTTAGAAGAGAGTTGGCCATGGAGATGAGTTATCAAGATGTAAAGAGAGTTGCTGTAAGAGATGGGCAATTGGCAGAGGGGCAATTGGATTTTTTATTGGCTGAAAGGAAGTTCATTAGTCTGTTGTCTTTTTCATTCTGTACAAGGCCCAAGAGCCACTCAAGGTAGAGGCTACAGAATAAGAGGCACAGCTTATGTGGATATGTGTGGAAGATAACGGTTAATCCTAGACTTGAATAGGTTAAGAGTGTAGAGCTCAGGGAAGCATCCTCTTGGGAGGCAGTGGTTCATGGGAAGATGCTACTCAAGTGGAACTTATAGCACACTAAAGCAATACAAAGGGATTGAGGTTAGTTTGCTACAATGTGTGTGTTATGTCAGGTCTTGAGAAAAGACAGGTGAAGGTGAACACTTGCCTACCTCCCACAAACTGTACCAAGAAATTTTTTAATCATTTCACCCTAAGCAAAGCAATAAAGCCACTAAGATGCAAGGGATTACTGAGTGTTAGAGAATAGGAAAGAAGAAAATGTTTTTAAGGAGAGAGAACAATAAAAGAACAAGAATTAAGAAGACAGAAGATAACATTAGACATTGCATTTAAATTTTTGATGATCAAAATTGACTGGCAAGCAAGAAGCCAGAAGAGAATTCCACAAGCGAGAAGTGCGATAAAAGAAACTGTTTGCATAGAATTTATGGTTACATTTAGTCATTTCAACTCTAAAATGATGTGACCTTGATGCCAGTCTAAGCTATGCTTAAATTTAGAAAGTCTAGGTACCATAATGAAAATTTCATATATTTCTAGAAAAAGCACAGAGAAGCTACGTTATAGCGGTGGGAAAGTGACTGAAGCCGAGATGCCAGATTAAGACTGATAACATTGCAGATTCTTCTTTGGATTTTATCAAGAATCTCTAAATGTATAACAGGAGCACCAGACTTGATGTGGCAGCAATATTCAAAGTGTGGGTGAAGAGTAAACTTATAAATAATTATAAGATAGATTCTGGAGAGAAAAATTGTCTTACAAGATACAGTGAACCAACTTTCTTAGCTGCACACCTAGCAATTGATTTCCACTTCATATCATTGGAAAACATTAGTTTAAGAAGGTGCAATGAGTCACTCTCCTGGAGGTTAGCATCTGCCATGTTAATGGAAGGTAAAAAAGGTTCTCTAAAAAGATTAAAAGAGAGCAGTTTCATTTTGGAGGTGTTAAAATTAAATTAACAGGGCATTCCTTGTCCCAGTTAACAACAGACTGTAAGTCATCTTTGAGATCAGCTGCCAATTTAACCTTATTGAACTGATCAGACTTACTATTAAGACAGGACTAAATAGGTATGTCATTAGCGTAGATACTGAATTGAGAATCTATAAATAAAGAAAGCAGTATATTAAAAACAGGATTTGTGATTTCTTGTTGTGGTGATTATCTCAAGATGGTTGTATTGTGGGATCTTCCACAACAAACCAGCCTTACCTCTTTTTAGGAAATGCACTCTTCCTATCTGGTAAGTAACAGCCTACTTTCATACAATTATAACAAGTATTCATTGGTCAATCACCTCCAATCTTGCTTGCTGATTGGTCAGTTCCGACCAATCAAACCGCCTGCACGCGACCAATCTGTTTTTCCCATGTTCTCCATTTGAGCCTCCCATGTGGTACACGACCATTATATAAACCCAACACATGTAAACTTCCTCGAGTTTTTCTTTTCATTCATCTCTCTCGCACGTCTCATTCCTTGCTACCAAGTGCCAAGATGTAACCTTCAGGAACTCCCGTCTTAGTCATTGCTGGCCAGACGTTAAAGACAATTACCAACATTCATGAACTCTGAAATCACTCCTGAACTTTTACCAACTTTAGAACTCACAATTCCAAACTTTATTCTTCTAAATTACAAGTTCAATATTACTTCTTCTTAATATGAACTCCGGTACAACTAATAATGAATCAAAGGGACACGACTCTGTCCTACCTTTTCAGTTCGCATGCATGTACATCAAACATTAATAAATCTAATTGTTATGTTTTGGAATCATTCAGTTCAGTTTTGTATTTTATTCTATGTGCTATTTACGTCAAGTATAAATAGCATTGCGTTCACGCATTGTCATTAATCTCATCTTTCTTAGCCATTACATATATTGGTAACTCAATCACTACAACGATGATAATACAACCGCTACATATTTAGTGATCCCATCGGGAATAAACAATAATGGTACCCCTATCACTACAGTATGTTTACATGTGTACAAACCTCTGATTTTACTTTCCACATCCAGTGAAGAACACATCACAACTGCTTTCAGGTAATTTTCAAAATTCAGTGGAAAATTCGGTGCCTTAAAAGCCAAAAACATCTGCAAAACATGCAAAGATTCAATGAGCCTTTGTACAATATCCACAAAAAATAATTGAAAAACATTCAAAGTCAGAAACTTTTAGGGGAAACTTACATTTCTCATGATTGGATCTGGAATATTTTGTATATGCTTGTCATTGAGAAATCCATCACTTGTACATCCAAGCTTTTTAAAAACTGCCCACAGGTATTCAACTTCTGGGATCAGCACTTGGAGAGAAAGAAGAAACTTTTATATTACAACAGTCATTGTGACACCTCATTTTAACACATGATTTAATTGATATCCTGTTGCCTAGCTACTGAATTCTTATCACAACCAACTACTTTAACATCTCTTTCTTTTTCTAAGACATTTAACTTACTGGTAATGGCTTTATGCATAATCAGAATGAAGTTGTCAAAAAACATCTTTTGAGCATGATACTTATCCTTTCTCCATGAAACTTTTAACTCTGTGTTAGTCACCACAGATTTCTGAAAATGGATAGTTCCCTGTGGCATTTATACACCCCAATGCAAAAATGTTTATAGTGTTACTATTATGTAAAATATGGTCATACTGCTGAAAAATAACATAACAGGCAATGTTACAATATACATTAAAAGAAAACTTGAACTGAAAATATAATTATTCATTAAGATGAAATTATAATGAATTTTTTGCATAAAAAATGTTGTAAATTGTAAGTATTTTACACCAATAGAATAATAGAGAAAAGTTTTATTTATCAAAAATAGCCACAATATATTTTGATGAATTGAAATCAAAAGAAAAATCAATGTCAGTTCATGATATAGCCATTACTGTTCACTCTGATTCAAAATATCCTTTATAAGCACCAGACTTACTTCTTGATGAATTTGTGGTACTTCATTCATATATATATATATATATATATATATATATATATATATATATATAATTAAGTTATGAAAAACTTGGTAATTCATATGGGTAATCCCAAGGAGGATGAAATCCTGAGAGCTCAATGTAAATCCAGGGCTAATATTTTAAAGAAAAACAGACCACTTTAAGGTACCATTATAATAATTTATTTCACCAGAGCCTTTTTAAAGGATGTTGGATCATTAGATAGACTTTCCAATGAATGAAAAATGAAATTAAAATTTTAATTTTGATTTTAATTTCATTTTTCGTTTCATTTTTGGAAGTGCTATCTGATGATGAATGGTAAGAAGTAGGTCAAATGAGGAAAATGTTTTCCTACTGGGGAACACACATGCACATGAACATATTCACTTTTCACTTCATTTTCTCTAGGACTTTCCCTACACCAAACTATACACTTGTTTTGCTAATACATCATTTGTTTGTACATACAAACACATTATATACATACATACATACACATATATATATATATATATATATATATATATAGGTAACTATACTTGTCTCGGAAAACCTTCAGTTTCTTGATTTGCTAATGGTCAAATCAATTTCAAAGGAAAAAAGGTTTTAAAAAAAGAAAGAGCTAAGAAGATGAACGTCTGTCGAAAATAATTGTACAGCATACAGGTCCAAAAAAAAGTAATGAACTAACTAAAAAAGTGCTCAATACAAAAGTAGAGAAGACCTAGTCAAACCTAAAGAGCCAGACAAACCTACCAAGGTTTCACCTAAGCGGATCGTCAGGGAAAGCCAGCTAGGTTTGACTATATATATATATATATATATATATATATATATATATATATCACATTGTTCTATCTATCTATCTATATATATATATATATCTGTTCTTTCTCTATATATATATATATCACATTGTTCTTCTATCTATCTATCTCTCTATATATCACATTGTTCTCTATATATATATATCACATTGTTCTTCTATCTATCTATCTATATATATATATCTTGTTCTCTCTTCTATATATATATCACATTGTTCTTCTATCTATCTATCTATCTATCTCTCTCTATATATATATCACATTGTTCTTCTATCTATCTATCTATCTATCTATCTCTATATATATATCACATTGTTCTTCTATCTATCTATCTATCTCTATATATATATCACATTGTTCTTTATCTTCTTGTTCTTCTATCTATCTCTATATATATATCACATTGTTCTTCTATCTATCTATCTCTCTCTATATATATATCACATTGTTCTTCTATCTATCTCTATATATATATCACATTTTTCTTCTATCTATCTATCTATCTATCTATCTATCTCTATATATATATCACATTTTTCTTCTATCTATCTATCTATCTATCTATCTATCTATCTATATATATATATATATATAGATTATCTTGTTATATATTTTTTCTATCTACATTTCTATTTTATGTGGACTTGTTATCCCAAATTTCTTTATGTGGACTTACATCCCAAATCTGTTTGTTGTGGGCATTTCAGGAGATACACGTCTTTATCTCTCAATGCAACAAGGACACTTGTATAAGCACATATATATTCTTAGTGTATAAGACACAAAATTAGGTTTCCATATAAAGGATGTCCCAAAAATCACCTAGGTATTTAAAAATGTCATAACATATCAAATTTTTCATAATTTTTTATTTCATTTTTTTCCAAAATATCTAAGTCAGAATAGGAAAAATATCCCTTTTAAAATTCACATGTGAACAAAGAACCAAATTTTTGAAATTTTATTTTGATCCAATCAAACTTTTGTTTTTGTTAAATTCTAAAATTTTGGCTACTACTTTCTCCTGAACTGAAACCACACAATTATTTTTTTTGAGGGGAATATCTTAAGGAGGATGTATGCATCTGTTTTAGGGAACGAACTAATAATCCTCAGTATACAAAGAACTGATACACCTTTATTAACGTTTACCACGCTAATTTATTTTCTAGAGTTGTCTTCCCTGCCACAACATTTTTTGAGGGTACAAAAACATGAACACCTACTGTTTTAAAATTGTTATAACTTTCTTTGTATTGTGCATATAGATTTTAATTTTTGTACAGTAATAAAAGAATGAATGAGTAATATTTTGACGTAATGCATTACGTTTTGCATGCATGTTTTGATGTTCAAAAACAAAAAAAATTGAAACGCAAAATAAAAACAAATACATTAAAAAATAATTTAACGTACTTTAACTTTTCTTTTATTAATCCTTGTGTAATTTTTGGATGCTTTAAGAAACAAAATCGCAAAATCGGCTTTCATTTCATCAAAAAAGTGACGTGTTTCCTTGTGTTTAGAATTCAAAATGGCGGAAGTTTAGCCTTGTTCCAAAGCAGTAGTAGGCAACTTCCAGCTTAAAATACTGTAAATAACAGTTGACAAGTATTCATTTATAATAATTGTCTCAAAGTAACAGAATGTGCCTAGAGTAGCAAGGGAGAGAATTCTATGGTGACTATTGTCGACTGCAGAGTGGTAAAGGTTTAAATGGACTGTTCCAGTAGGAATATAAGCATCTATGGTGTTGGTCTAACGGGGGTGGGGGGGACTTGCTTTCCAGCTTCAGAGGAACTTGTAATATCTACTTGTATTTTCTCTCATTCAAAATAAACCCTTATATTTTGTAAGTTACTGTTCTAGTTATTATTTCAACAACCACGTCAGACAACATTACAAAAGCATCAATAAACCACAGACAATTTAGCAGCAACTGAAAGATAATATCTATACAGAAATTCAAGGGTTGCAGACTGTGTTATGAAACACTGTTATGGAGAAAGTTATAGAAACAACATGCCTGCATGATGTAGAAAATATAAGAGAGAGGTATGCACCTGCACACTCACATGCAAATATAACTTTTATTGACTGGAAGTGGAAACAGTGTTTATATATCAAAGTACAATTTGGGTTAAGATGTGTGTTTACCGATGAGAAACACGATCTCAGGCAGGAGGTGATGTTTTAAATCTGGGTCATTAGAAAAGACAATGAGAAAATGATCTAATTAAAATTTATCAGTTAAAAATTGAAATAGAGCTTACTCAGGCTACGAGATATTTGGTTTTGTTCACCAGTATTTGTTTTGATTAAAAGGTTGAATCAATGTTTAGATATCCCAAAGTAAAATTTTGGTGAAGTGAGAACTCGTGATAAATAATTGGAGAATGGGTTTACATGTCAAGGGATAGTTTTTCGCACTCATGATAATCGCGTGCCAGGCCAAGGATCGATTCATGATCAAACAGATTTCTCTATATAAACCAGCATAGTTATGCTGGAGAGGGAGTCAGATGGTCGAGCGAGACGGAAGAGGCCAGACGGGAGAGAGAGTCAGGGAATGAGACAGTCGTCAAGAGAGTCACGAGAGATTTGCGGGAGAAGTAGAGAAGGAAGACTGACCCCTGTTCTGAAAAGTCTGTATGAGACTGGACTACTAGTCATAAACCTACCCCAGGCGATTCAATACGCGTTTATCAAACACAAACCCTCTCTCTGTTGGGAATTTGCTGGATGCATTGTGTCTTTTTCTTTTCTCATGTTAAATGTTTTTATTCTTCCTGTAACCTCTGTTCTGATGTTATCTTCTTCTATAAAAGACGTCAATATTTCCCCCATTGTTGTCTGGTTTCTGCAGATATTATTTCTTGTTTTATTTTGCCACATTCTAAACTTCCTACCGCCAACTCTCACAGCCGTGTCCACACCCCCAGTCGACCGTGAACATATGGACAACACCCCGCTTACTGGATCTAAAAACTAACACAGCATGGGCAGCAAGCAGGACTTGACCAGTTGACTGGTCGAAATAATCTATGGGTACTCAGGGAGCGTATGGCCAGTTACCCCTAAGTTCGGTTCGAACCGAGTGGACACCTCAACCCAAAGAGGAAGACGCCGGAGGTTGAGGGGCTGGGGACAAAGTGGTAGAAGAGTAAGATATTGACGTTGTATAATTTTTCATGATTTTCGTATTTGAACTTTCATTTTGTATAAAACTATTTTTGAATAATACAAATAGAGTTGAAATTGTTAGCTTTTTAAATCCCATGTTAACCTCTTGGATGCCCTGTCTCTCTCCCTGCTCCCTCACTTTCTTATAACAAAATTAATTGACCGCCCCACAAACCACTTCATGTCCAAGCTTTATTAATTTCAAAGATGAGGATGTTAGTTTAAATTTTGTAATACTTACATTTAGTAACTTTGGCATGATTCAAAATCCAGGTTGAATCAGACGGGTGGATATATTTGGTATTTATTTTTCTTCTTGTAGAGGTGATTTTATGGAGAGAATCTTGGTAGTTCCCCATCAGCAAGGTGAGTTGAGTCACTTCATTCAAAGTGCATCCGTAATCCTAATATAATGTAGCAATTGTGGAAAACAGGATTTCTTTTTCCGTCTTTTCTTTTTTGTCAGCGACTAGGAAAGAAAATTAATTTTATTATTTGATTTTATTGTCCTATTTGGACTCATTCATTATTAATGGTATATGGGTACATCTCCAAAACTATAGATGACCAGAGCTTGGCAACTGATCTCTCCTCTGAACTAGCTTTAACAGCTCTGTTAGAGAAAAACAGGCTGGTCACATTCTATGCATCAAAAAACTAAACTATTTACATTCCTGCATTACCGATCGGACACCAAATTTTCACCAATCACAATGAAGGGATGTTCTCTCAGGATGGCTACATGCATCAAGCACCTCGACTTGGAACTTAAATTCAACCCAGATCTCAAATGGAACTTGTACCCACAATCCATCACTAAAGATGCTGGAAAAATGGTTGGTTCCTTGTACTACTCTAGTAAGTACCTGACTCCTGTTATCTTTTACAAGAGCCAGATCAAACCGAAAATGGTGTACGGTTGCTGTGGGAAGGAGTTGCCCAGTTTTCACATTTCAGTCTTGATAGCCCAAAACATGGGTGACAAATTATTTCCCCCCCCCTACAACTCCTTTCTCACAGATGAAATATTGTATACTGCTCTATCACTATTTCTATGGAAAGTGCTCCAAAAAAAACCCCTAAATTTCTTAGTTCCATCAGTTGTAACCTTTACATCCATGCTACTCACATTGTGGCGAACTAACCTCATTCCCTTCATATTCCATTGGTGAGATGTAAGTTCTACTTGAGCAGCTTCTTCCCATGAACTGCTGCTTTGTGGAACGCAACTGCCAAGAGGATGCCTCCCTGATCACTAAAACCTTAAACTGTTCAAGTCTAGGGTTAATTGCTATCTTCCCTATATATTTCCATAAACTGTACCTTTTAATCTTTAACCTTCTACCTCGAATGGCTCTTGAGCCTTGTACAGAGTGAACATCATTGTAAATTAAAACTCAGTGAAATACCAATAAGCAGATTAATTGTGGTTGGGTTAATTTTGTTGTTGTAATTAGAGTTATGTGCTATTCTAGTTTCTTCAGTGGAAATGCACATTGACTTTTAGAGAATTAAAAATGGCTGCTATCAACACAATATGGCTCCCAAAGCAAAATAGTTGCTCTATAATTGTTGTCATATCTTTCTCTTTCTGGCATTTTCTGCATAAATATTTATATATATGTACCCCCTCAGTATATACCCATGCACACACACACACATACATACACAGAGTCCTGGGTATTATGACAAACTACATTGGGCAACAAGGCCTCTGATTGAGAGATTGTAGATTATGAAGAGTGTGTAACCACATCCTTATTGTTGTAGTTCCGAGGTCCATCCTGACCTGGGGTGGTAGCACCTGTTAGGGTCCCAGCTATGGGCAAATAGTGAACCCCCAACAAAAACAAAACACTATGAAATTATAAAATACATTCTTATAGTAAAATACCAGGAATATATTTTTATATTAAAAAAAGACCAACAATCTGTAGTTCAAAATATATTTAGTTGAAGCCATGAAATTGTTTTGAAATATTTAAATTTCGGTATTAAATAATCCATAGAGGTTGATATGCTCCTAAACAAAACCAACCAACCAATACACACACACACACATATATATATATTAGAGCCATTTTTGTTTTAGTTTGTGGGGTGTTCTGTTTTTCTTTGATATTATGGGTCACATTATTTACATAGCCACATGTTCAAATAGTTCAAATCCATTCTTCCTACAATCGGCTTTCTTCCACACCCTTCTTGTTCAAATCCACTGACTTTATATGTGTTCAAAGACAGATATACTAATCCATAGGCAGCACATCAGAGTTAATCCATCAGCCTCGCAGGCAGCACATCTGGGATTTTCCACCAACTGTGTTCTGATGGAATGAGTCTACACTGGTTTTTCTTTCTGCCATGGTGCCAATGTTTCCTAGAACCCCTATTGGATGTATAGATTAATTGTGGGTATTTTTAGGCAGAGAAAAGTCACTGAACTAAGGAATGTATAAAAATTTTTTTATTACTGTTAATCTTTGGTGTAATAATAAATGTATAATCTTCTAGGTTGCTGTTTTTGTACATGTTCTTTTGAGAGAAGTGTATTTTTAAGAAGGCCAGACATTTTGTGTAAAAAATTGTTATATATGTATATCTTTTTAAGCTCAGTGATTAAAAACTGCCAAAATTGTTAAGGATCCATTTCAAGTTTATGAAAAATTATTTTTATATATTTTTTGGCCAATGAGAGAAGTGGTCTCAAGCCCTAAGTAGAACCAGACTGGTGGCCTTCTGGGAACCTCTTTTTTGGAATAAATAGAACCCGGCTCAGTAGACAAGAACCAGAAGGCATTTGACATCAAGGAGAAGAAAGCATTTTGACATTAAAGTTAAGAAAGCGTTCGATATTAAGAAGAGAGTACCAAGAAGGCACAGAGTTACAAGCCAGCTACAGAGAACCCAAAGTATTTTGAAATATTTACACATCGCCAGTTGTATATTGCATGCTCAAGAGTAAGAAATCTTAAGAATTTATTCTTCTTCGCTGTTACAAAGATAAAAGAAAAAAAAGAAATTTTCTTCAAAAATATTGTTTACCATGAAGTTCTATAAAATTAAATTAAATTAAAGAAAGTATTTTTCAAACAAATTAGCTTATTCAAATTTCGATTGGTTTGCAAAATTAAATGAAACATAGAGTTTGCAAATTGCGACAAAAAATGTTAGCGATAACTTCAACAATACTAAATACTGTAATGATTTCAACACGTTAGTGTGTTGCAAAAAAATTCTAATTATTTATAAGTTACACAAAAGGAAATGTTTGTGCAATATGTAAATTTTTGTATTTTTTCCTTTTTCTGTATTTTTTCTTTTCTAAATATTTATCCTTTGGGGCCTGATACTACTTTCTATTCCTACTAACTAGGTTTTGTGTTTCAATTTAGTTGGGAGTTAAAAATATTATATTTTGTACCAAAAAGACAAAATTTAAATTAAATTTTTTACAAATGAGTAAAAAGTAAATAAATAATTAAACAAGTCAGAAATAAATTTAAAAATCTTTTCTTTCCTTAGACAACAAACAACTTAGACAACAAACAGAATTTCACACTATTTCAAATTTAACATTTGGTAAAAACCACAAAACTTCCATTCAAAGGTATGCACAATTTAATGAATAAAGTTTTGACTTAGAGAATGTTTGCCAAGTTTGGGAAATAGAATAAATTAAATTTCAAATATGAATTTAATGAACTTAAAATGCAGCATCTTTCTTAAATTATAATATTTGAATAGTCTAATTTCATTGCTGCCTGTCGTTCTATATTGTTTCACCTCCTCCCACAAAAAATAATTTCAGTTTAGATATGTCTAAAGATTTCTGAGTGCAGTTGTCTGGACACACAAACATCTGCATTCAGGAATATTTTCAGTTAAAATGATGAGATCTTTGCATGCTTCTGTAATGACTTCCCATTAAATTTGATCTTTTTTTCTCCTTTTATTAGGTTGAGTCATGAATAATTTCCACTTTTGTTTCTCAACTTTATTCTTCAAAAATAAACTTCCACATCCTTGGAATGCGCCAATTTATTTTCCACTCTGTGACCCCTTTCTCACAGATGAGATGGGTTGCAAGCCCCTCACTGCTCTGTTGCTATTTCTGTGGTGAATATTCAGATGAACTTTTGGGCATTTGGTCAAGTGGTAAGAGACCCAGGTTCGAATCTCACAATAGTCGATTTATCAGAAGGAAACTTCCTGATGTTATCGGACTGTGGAGGTCGATCCCAGCGTGTAGCACCTTTGGAAAGTGCCTGAAAACCATACCACGGGTTGACCCAAGCTTGTGAGTAAAATTGGGTAGGCGGAACCCTTGGGTGCCGTTGATAGCTGTGCTAGCAGAAAGTCACAAGTCATCGTGGCTGAGGGCTTTCAAAGGCATGGCCTTGTTCAAATTGTTGATCACGCTAGATAACACGCTTTTTTCCAGAAACTGTAACTAAGGTCTGCTCAGCATAGTTGCAGTATAAACCACAGGTGGGCTCTGTGGATGTTGAATAAACACAAATGTGCCTGAGCAAGCGTCTGCAATAGGGATTAACTAGCTGCTTTAGTAAACGGGTATCTTTGAATGAACGGCCAGCTATACATATATTCAGATGAACTACACTCTTTAGTTCCACCAGTCCTAACCTTATTGGCTAAAACACCGCATGCCATGCACACTGGCGTGAATCTCCCTCATTCCCCACCGGTGAGATGTAAGTTCCATTGAAGCATCTTCTTCCCATGAACTATTGACATGTAAAACTGACTCCCAAGAAGTTCTTTTCCTGATCACTATAATTTTAACCTGTTCAGGGTTAACTATTATCTTCTGATATTATGTGCTTCTTCTATGAGAATTTGTATTTAAGTAAATTTATCCTAACAGAGGCCATCATCATAAGGGTACTATTCACAATTATGTGGTCCCAATGTGCCTCTAGAATAATAATAATAGAATTATATTTACTCTTTTGTTGACTTAATCCACTATTATCTTAATAGATATGCGCATATAAATTTTTTAGCATCTGGATATATTTCTGAGCTGAGGTATTGTAACTATTTACACTACTTGGACAGTTGTCCTTATCTTTATTGCCATATTCATGACGTTTTTATTGTTCTATGTTCCAGACTTCTTCAGGTGATATTTCTTGGAATCTCAAACCAAAATTCTTTATTTAGTCCATGTGAAATTAGAACAATCTACCACCATGTACTACATAAAGTGTTCAGTTTGAAATTCCAAGAAATATCACCTGAAGAAGGCCGGAGCATACAATAGCCGAAATGCTGTGAATATGGCAATAAAGATGAGGACAACAGTCCGAATGATGTAAATAGTGAATATAAATTT